TTTAGGGGCTCATACCACTATTGGCGTAATTTAGGTATGCCCCAAACGTCGCGTTCCAAATAAAACGCGGAGAAAAGATCTCAATGGGGCACAATAGGTAATTTTCCGCGAGATTTCGCGTATTGCGTGAATGATGCAAAACGAAAATCTGTCGCAAAAATCGAACGATTTCATTTTGAAATCTAATTTCTTTTCTCATAGCTCAAATTCGAACGGCCGATCTTTGACAGGGAATTATTACGTTTATAATAGATACTCTTACTTCATCGAAATTGACCATCATCAAATGTGTACAAACATTATTAGGCATGGAAATATCCCCAAAACTCTGTCGCGTTTGTCGAATAACACGCGATGTTTGACGCCACCACGCACGGCGCTATGACCTTTGTTTGTCCTGTTATTACGTTCGATTTCACACTTAACGCGGGACCTCGCAGTGAACGAGAAATGGTCTACCCCCCGTCCCGCCGCCACTGCAATAAGGTGCAACAATGCACGTGACAGTGAAATAATGATAATAACGGTAATAAATCCTAGGATGTTAGACAGAACGATCATAGAGTCAGTGGGATTACGCCAAGGGTCACGCACTTCATTGCAACATGGCCTTGTGCTTGAAATTAGGTCATGGCGTGACACGCGAGGAAGACATCTTTCAACTGTCACAAAATCACCCTAAAACGTTGAAGTGGTCGCATATTACGGCGTGGCAAACATGGGAAACAAAAAAAACGCCTTCTACAAACGCCGATGGTTCGGATCACACTAGATTGACAACAAAGTAACCATTTTGGCTTTCCCTTTCAATTCAACGACCAATGTCGTGTCGTCGTACACAAGCATGCCATCAAAGGAAGACGAAATTAGAGTGGGTGGGTTCTAGGCCTGCTCAGATCTACCGTGAAAATCGTAAACTAAATAAACTGAAAAATATATCAAAAAAGTAAACAAAGCATGTGAAAAAAAAAAATCATAAACTTCATAAAGCGTCACCATGCAATTTGCAAAACTAAATAAATAATAAAATAACTGACCAGCACGCAATTTGTTACCAGATTGTTACAGAAGGCCCAAGTCAAGGCAAGTTTTGTTAAATATTGGTGTCAAGGTGGTGTGCCCTATACTACGAAAACAATTTAGAAAACAGATGAATATCAATGTTGATGTTGGATACTGTTTGAGATATCTGTATATACCGGTATATTTATTTCTCAAATCGTAATGGAAGAAATTAATTAAACGAGAGTTGTTTACACAAAAATAATCCCAAATATTTGTCGAGACATTTATTCTCACAATTTTAACAACTACATCGTGTAATGGTATGAATTAACTGAGCGAGAGTTGTTTACAAAATAAGTCTCAAACATTTGTTGAAACATTTATTCTCTCTATTTAACAACTTGCAAATTCAATTCACTGAAATAAGTAATAGCAGACAGTGTCGAAGATTGGATTAACCACTGAGGTGTCGTGCTGTGGTTAACACAAGTAACAAACATCTAATTAGCAGTAATGCCAGCACCAGATAGGTACACGTGTCTTGGCATTGGGGTTAGGGTTGGGTAAGGTAGGGTTTACAAAAGCGGCGAACACCAAATTTTCAATATTGTCTTCACTGGTGAAAGAATTTATCCATTGCTTACAAACAATAAATTACTAAGTGAATACGTCTCTACAAAAAACTTTATAAAAAACATTACATATATATAAATGTATATGTGATGTAATACAAATATATATATACTTCACAAAACTCAAATTGTAAAAAAAATCTACAAACCTGGAGGGTATTTCATAGCCTCGTTTATCAGACTGATGTTTAGTGGGATTGGGTTCAAGTCCCATGTGTGCCTGTAATAAAAGGGAGTAACATAACATCTGTTTGTGTGATGACCCACATGATACAGTGGATATGTATAATCGGTAGCAGTTACGTGAGAGATTTAAGGTTCAAATCCAACCATTGTTGAATATTTTAATTGAAATCAGTGAACATTTAACATAGGAATAGAACTAAAATGCAAGTACTTGAATTAATAACAAAAGTCTGAACTTCAAAGTAAAACACACGCAGAACAAATAATCACTCCTCCAATGAAATCAAGCCGAACTACAAACGTGGTTAAGAGCTAGTTAGCTATAAGTCTGATTGACAGAACCACCTGATACGAGGATCATTGCTGCTCTCCAAATGGGTCCTTGCCCCTTGCCCCAAAAATGTATATATCACCCCTTCTAGAATGTAGTGACCTAGAAATTAATGAATATATTAATGAGCACAGAAACTGCCACGTCATGGATAATTTAGCATATATTTTTTTTTTAAATTGTATAAAGTGTAGGTACGTCTTCTGGAATTGTGCTCTCATTTACATATTAAGGTCTACACACCTTATGTATAAAATTATGAACAATGGAAAAGTGAGTGGAACCTCAGACTACTATAATAGTCTGAGGTCGAACAAAATACCCCGGTGTAAATGGTATAGCACCCCTCGTTCACGCATGAATGTATCACAGGTCACTCATTGTATTATTCCACCAATCGCTTAGCTTAGGTCAGTAAGTAATGAGACTAGCCTATAACATAGCTGATCTGAATAAAACAGTGTTCGATTATTGGGTATTGCCACACACAAAAAAAAACTATTTTAAAATTGTACACTCACATTTATCATTGGAGATGTGTTAGTGATTTCTAGAAGAGTTCTAGAAAAAAAATTGGGTGGTTCTACAACTACCTAGAACAATCTTTGAGTGGTTCCAGGTCTGACTAGGTGGTTATCTTCCTAGATAATAACCGCACTATACAAGTGTGTGATGTTGTTAGTGTCGGTTAATTGACTGTATGAATGACTTTCAGTTTTCAATTGGTCTATTCTTAAGACAACCACTAATTCCATAATTGGACACACCATCGATACAATACAGAACTATGTGTGTGGATTGAAATTAGTATTTAAAAAAAATCTTCCTGCAAAGTACGTAAATGCTTATCTGCGCTCAGAACTTATTTTTAAAAGGTCAGGTTCAAAACATTTCAATTCACACGGATTGCTGAAACTTAATGGGCAGACTTGTTATTTCCATCCCATACGATTATTTTAATATTATCTACTCTCGTCGCGATCGTTGTTTCCCTTTACATGTCGAAATATGGAAAAGTGAATGCGACGACGGTAGAGAATGGAGCATGCTATGGTAGAGCTATGCAATGTTGTGATCGGCGGCTTTTTTGTTTTGATTAGCATGCTTTTCTACAAACCTTGGTAAAAACACTTTTGATTTCAGGTATGTCAGAGAATGGCTTGCTCTAATGACAACAGGGAAAATAGTAGAGTTGAATGAAGATAATGATACTTTCTATTTACCGGAGCACCGTGCCGAAGCACTACGAGTCAAAGAAGGTGAAATAAGCATGGGAATGATGGCGCAAGCGTTACCACTACTTTGTGGCCCTTATGAGGAATTGGTTAGCTGCTTCAAGAAAGATGGCCCGGGAGGTGAGCGTACGATTTAGAATACTTATACATGTCAATATTAATTATGACTAACCTAAACAGTCACACATTGCGAACATATAAAAACGCAACACGTGATTCAAAGTCACATCCACAGCAACGCACCCTGTCGCTCTAGGCAGTAACCATCCCAAAATAGACCCAACTAAATAGCCTGTAAGTAACAGTGACATGTCATGTACAAGGTAAATCTCTGGTGTCACAGACAATTCATATTTAAAATAATCAATGTAGAGAATTTATATCAACACAAAGTTATGAAATACAATACAAATACTTATCCGTGTAAGGGGAATTCTTTATATTACTTACTCATGCTGCTTTATAGACTTCAATCAATTTGACAAAACTGTTGTGAGAATACAAAATAAACTAAGCTGAATTAATTAGTATGTAAATTGCCTAATTGATATCTCTAAATCTGTACGAAAATTAAATCAACATATTATTATTATTTCTATTTTTTCCTTCGCTCTTTGACAATTATTTTAAATATATTGCCCAAAATCGTCTACATCTCTACAACAGGCACTTTCAAATTCCTTGCTGACAAATTGCTGCACAAGGAAGCTAAACCCATTTTTCTTATATTGACTCTGGCAGATGTTTTGAAAGGAGCATAAATTTGATCACAACCGGTGTAACAGTCAGATACATCATTTAAAAGTAACCTTAGTTGGTATCATTAACCCTTATATAATCAAATCAATGTAATGAAATTATAAAGGTTAACGTTGCTTCTAGTCCAATCTATGATGACAGATATAACACAGCCATTTACTAGTAATCAGCTAAATAAGTCGGTCAACAGATACGCGAAAACTAATTCATGACAGAAACAAAAATTAGTTGGTCCGGCCATCCATCGAGGGCCGTAATCCCGTATGATGACGTGCGTCAAAGGATCATGTCTGCTATAGGGGACGTGCAGAAGTGGTCCGGCCACGGCCGGTACGGTTCCTACGGCCTTGTCTTAAACTTGCGTACAATAGTTGACAAAACGTGTTATTTTATCCTAGGTGTACCATATTCAAGTTTTTCCGGGTTCTGTACCTATGCAGATGAGCTATCTCGCACCAGATTTTTAAAACTACCAAGGTTTTTCAATGAAACTGAGAAAGTGAAATGTTTATTGGGTGAGTATACTAGTACCTTCAATTTAGTCTTTTCTCAACTTAATTCCCATATTTACTATAATTCACTTTGATGTAATTTTTTACCAGAGCCTTATTTTATCATTAGTCACCGTTTCAGGCGCAGCCTGAAAGATGGACTCGGACTATTAATTCTTATTTCAATTCTCCGTCTGTGACGTCTCTAACATATTCTCAGAAATTTTGCAGCAGACATCCATGAAATTTGGCAGGTTGATAAACAAATCTCTTACTTTTCAGATCTGAATCCTAAGTGGGTCTTTTTCATGATTTTCATCTAAAACTACCTCTCCCTACTGCACTAGTACTGCGAGAACAACTGAGCATGCTCACAATAAATAATTGGCTTGGATTGTAATGCTCAGGTTTTTAGTGATGTCATGATCTGGTCATGACCTTGATTTGAATCAGTGAAAAATGGGTCGTACCATTACCAATCTCAGTAGAAAATGTAGAGGAGTATATTACCAGGTTCTGGTAATATACAAAGATCTGAATTAACAAAGAAGTCAAGTTGTTATTAAAGGTACATCAAGGTTTTACTCAGATTTATGAATGCAGTTTCTTGAGCATGTATGAGACATAGTTTGGTCACACTTGTGTACTCTGAAATTTTGGACATGGGTCAATGAAAGTTTTCAGTTATCAGATTAAGGGGAATCACTTTATGATGAGTTGTACCCACATATTAATAGTACATATTAATTCAGTTGTTTGCAGATGTTCCATGTATTATTTTAACATGGGTATTTTATAATTAAATAACGGGGACTGTGACATTCATGTCTTGTTATTTATGTATTATTCAGATTCTGGAGCTAAAGTTGTTGACATTGGGTGCGGAAGTGGTATTGTATTAAACAGACTAGGACCTCAGTTTCCAAAGAGTGAGTTTCATGGAGTGGACTTCTCATCTGAGGCCGTGACAAAAGCGCGTGATGATGCGGAAAAGATGGGCGCAACGAATGTATTATTTCACGAATATGATGCTGCCAAACTTCCCGCCGATTGGTTGAATTCGTTCGATTACGTAATCGCTATGGAATCAATTCATGACCAAGCATACCCAGATGTTGTGCTTAACGAGATATCTCGTATCCTGAAACCGGAAGGTTACTTTTCCATGGTGGATGTGTTGGCGTCTTCTAAACTTGCTGATAACATATCGAATCCTGTATCACCTATGTTCTATGCATGGAGCCTAATGCATTGTATGACTGTGTCGTTGCATTTCAAGAATGGTGCGGGTTTGGGGGCAATGTGGGGCAAGCAAACGGCTATGAAGATGTTAACATCAGCTGGTCTGGAGTACGTGTTAGTGGAAGAGTCTCCAGGCGATCCAGAATATTACCATTACTTATACAAAAAATCAGCATCAAATTAAAAGCATAATATGAAACACGTGTCTAACGAGTTACAATTACAACGGGTTATAAATCAAATCTTATTCGTACAAGATTCACACAGACAACATCGTGATAAAATGTCCTTTTTTCTCTGATGAAAACAAGAGTCGAAAACTGTACTTTTGGCTAGTTGTTGAGAATCACCTGTGCAGTGTAACAAGAATTACCTCAAAATTCAGTTTATGCTGTTTTCATCTGCTCTTCAAGAGATATTACACAGCAACTCACATATAGCCAAAAGCACTGTATGTTACAGTGTCTTACTAACGTAGAACGTCCTGTGACATAGCTCAGCTCAGATAGTTATCTAAAATGTTTTGATTTCGAGTAGGTATGATATTATTGCCGTTCCGCCGTTCTCTTGGATTTTGTTCCATATAAAATACAATTTCTTCAAGTAACTGCTTAGATGTGCAATGATCTCAAATTTACTTCTGATCAATTAATACATAATGCCATATTGTTGCTTACTTGCAAGCAAAACTGTTTGTCCATCTACGAGTCCAATGTTGCACTGACTAATATCACTAAAAATCTACCCAAGAATATGTAATACTTTAATGTATTTCTATCACATAGTCGACACGAGTTTCTAATTAACATTGCTTAGTTATGATACTATATTATGAACGTGTTATCACTGCTAAATCTTTTCTCGTGTATATTGAGGGTCGGCAAGGGATATTTTCGTAAGCTGTAATCAATTTTTTTTATTTTCGTAATAATGTAATTTAAATAAATAGAACACGTAATTTCGGAGACATGGGCAAGGTGTAAAACGTAATTAGCTATTATATTATTTCGTAATTCGTACAAAGATCTTATTTGTTGTAAGTGTTTAAAGCATTTTTCACATTAAAAAAACAAAATTTCAAACTTGTAATTGCTTTTTATGCGAACAAATCTTCCATGTGCTACATCTTCCGGGCGAAGTCGCTTGCACATGCGCAGTAAAATTCTTTAATTTTTCCGCGGTTTAGTGGATTTTCGTAAATAATGCGCATTGTTCAACTTGAATGAAAACAAATGTTCTGCTGTTGGTGCATCGACGGCATAGGGCTAAGATGTTACGTATATCTCGAATGTAGGAAGTTTTGTCAGTTCTTCATACCTATAATTTATATATTAAATTAAAACTAGTAGCTTCGCGATGAGTGGCTTTCGCGGTAATTGGGTTTCGTATCTGTAGTGTTTCGCGTGGAGTAGGGCTTTGTCTCAGTAACTGGTCCTTTCATCCTTGTTGAGAATTAAAGTTTTATGTTTCTTTAACAACTGGCACTATTCTGGGAATACCATCCTAGCAGGAGTTCCGCTAGAATTGCTCTCATAATCACTTTTGTTGGCGATCCGCTCCCTAGGATTTCCCTTATAATCATTTTTGTCGTTTTGTGTGTGTGATTTCCAGTGTTTTCACGTATGATTTCTTCTGTGATTTTTTTGGCTTGGCCGATTTCTCTTAAACTTGGCAGGTAGGTCACACCTTCACCCTGGTTATTAGGAAAAATCTGTACAAAAATTTTGGCCCACCGTTATCATAGCAATAGTCAAAAAACTGATTTTTGGATAGCTTCACGCCAAATGTATCTCCTCCTACAAATTTTGGATAAAACACTTCAGACATAGCTCATTCTACTCAGCTTGAGTGTGGGCACAAAGTTACGATTTGAATTTTTGGTATCTATTTTCATTACCGAGAATTTTGACGCCAATGTTGGAGTAACTTTTTACCAGCAACGGCTTTTAACTCCTCTATGATTTTTTTCGGCTCGGCTGATTTTGTTCATACTTCACAGGTAGGTCGTACCGTCACTAATTGGAAAAAAGTCCTGGCCCATCAGATTTTTGAATACTTTCGCCTCAAATGTATTACTTACCTACCAGTGTTCAAATGATCATGCTTTTTATTTTGGCTACGTTGCGCACTGGTAGGAGATCACAGGCGCCGACATTGTTACACTGTATCAACGTAATCCCAACGCAACTTTGAATGAACTGTAAATGTTGCCTTCATTCTAGAAAATCCTATCGCAAAACGGTTGGAAATAATAAATGTAACAGCAGAATACGTCCTAGTAGTAAACTAAGCAACTTCTAAAGACTGAATGGTGTTTGCGAACTTCGTATACGGGCCCATCCATTTAGTTATAAACCGACGTTAGCTTCACGTTTATGTCACACCATGGAAACAGCTAAAAACATGCTGCTTGTTTTTGAGTGGAGCGGATCGCCAACCAGCCAAATTACTATTTGAATTTTGGTATCTTTTTTCATTACCGAGAAATTTGACCCCAAAGTTGGGGTTACAGTTCACCAAGAATTGCTTGTCAACTCTTCTGTGATTTTTTTGGCTTGGCTGATTTTGTTCATACTTGACAGGCAGGTCGTACCGCCACTAATTGGAATACTTTCGCCCCAAATGTATTACCAGTCTTGTAACAGCAGTGTTTAAATGGTCATGCTTTTTATTTTGGCTACGTTGCCTGCACACCCGTAAGAGATCGCCGGCGCCAACATTGATACACTGTATCAACGTAATCCCAACGCCACTTTGAACTGTTAATGCTGCCTTCAATCTAGATCAAAGAAAGCTTAGAAAGAACTCCCATGTGCTGAGAGTATTGGAGACACATTAAATATAATTTGAAATTACTTAGCTGAAAACTAATTATGCAAATCAGAAAATTAACATGAACAGATTTGATTGTAAAACTAATGAGGTCTGTGCAATGTAACAAAAACTCTATGTACCAAGTTTAATTGAAATGTGATTAGAACCAAAAATTATGAATTATTATGCTAAT